TTCTTGTTTTGGGGAGAGTTAGTGATTTTGTAGTCTTCATTGTGGTGTGATTGGCTGGTGTTTCTTGAAAGCTCAGTTTACAATGCCTTAATAAAATTGAAGATGGTGACTTTTTTTAACTTCTCTAAAAACAAGATTATTTTCTGAATAGTAAGGAGTTTTCTAAGTAACCTCTGTATTTACCTGAACTTTTGTTAACATCACAGATTAAATAACTGTTTGGAATGCAAATCATATCCAGTCTTTCTCCTTCATTTTCCCCTGCTTTTCTTCCTGACTTGTATTTTTAATCCAGTCCTCCTCAGCCTTCGCTTGTCCAGTTAAGTATTTCCCCCACCCACGCCCCTGGAGGCTCTGCTGCACCCTCTGGTCTCTCTCCATATTTTCTCAAATAGCTATTCCACTCCTGCTTTTTTTTTCCCCCTCTCTGTCTGTCTGGTCATCTTTAGGTCCCCCCTTTCTTTTCCTCAGTCAGTTTTTCCCCTCCTTGCCAATTTGACTTGCATATCTGTTCCTCGATATTTCTTTATAGACTTGTCTGTTCAGTTTCTTTTGCAATAACATTATTCCCTCTTTCCCAACTGTTTCATCATCTCTTAAGCTGGATCTTAAATCCCGCTTGCTCACTGGTCATCATTTCTTCTCAAACTCACCCGCTATCCTGTTTATTTTTGCTGCCCATCTTCCTCTCTGCAGTAGGTGCTCAGCCCTCCTTGGCTCTCTGCCCATCTGGTCCTGTCCTGAGGGCTACGTCAGGTTGCCTGCTCACATCCACAGTGTGGTCGCCGCCACTTCCAGAGGCCCTAGGTCATGAAGGGGATCTCTGGGTGACAAGAGAAAGGAAGTATTCAGTGTTAGTCTAAAGAATCTGATTTATGTGTTAAGCTTTGCTGTCAAAGCCTCATTAATTCCAGAATTCAAATTTTTATATTAAAAAAAAAAAAAAAGAAGTCCATTTAGAGTGCTTTTAAATGGACAACCACTTCTGGTTTTGCTGGGACAAATGTATGTAGACTAAAGCAGAGGCTTTCCCGTGGTGAGGACAGGAGTCAGGGATGGGAAACATAACACGTTAAATCCGTGTGCCAGTGAACATGACAACTATTTTCTGCAAACTGTTTCCTAGCTTTTCCGAGGGCTGTTTTAATAATCAGAAGTAATGGATTATTTATTGTTCTCTAGAGACTATTCTTTCATTCAATAATTTGTTATAAGGCAGTTTCCTCTCGTGGTTGATCTACATTGTAACTTTACAAATTTTGTCTTTAAGCTTCTTTTTGCCTATAATCTGTATATCTTGTTTTCATTTGGAATAAGCTATCCATCAAATATTTGTAGATTAGTTATCGCATTATCGTTTTTCTCCTGAGTCTTCTCCGTCATGGAGCATATACTTCTTTGGTTTTGCAGAATCACTGCAGAGGAGCTAGGCAGAACTGTTTATTTTATATTTACTTACCTCCATGTGTGTATATGGATATATAAAAATAGATAAATATTATTCAGCTTTGATAATGGAAAGCAGGGCAGAATTTTTGCTTGGAAATACACAAAGACATCTTTGTAAGCCTCCTCGGTTGTTGGTCTGTTACGTATAATCCCGGGTAGCCTGCTCTAGGTGGCCCTGCTTGAGCAGCGGGTTGGACCAGATGATTTCCAGAAGCCCCTTCCGACCTTAACCATTCGGTGATTCTGTCATCATCTTAGTTGACATATGTTTAGTAATTTATTTCTGTTTTAATCAGAAGGGCTCTTCTCTAGATCTCTGTAACTGGCTTCCAATTTAAACTAACATTTCTTTTTTTTTTTTTTTCTTCCCCCATGTTGTTTTTGTCAGTCACGTGTCAGTAATGCTCCATGTTTAAATACAGTTCCAGAATTGTTCCACTTCGAACAGTGGTTTACCCCTTGGGACTGGAGTTGTCCTATCCATGAATATAACATTATATATCTTGGCTGTAAAATACCTCTAAATTCTTCTGGTGTTTTAGCAGTTACACTTAACAATAAGCATTGCTTGAAAAGCTAAAGAAAGTGGAAAGATACTACTACTAGTGAATCTCACTGATCTTTTAGATCTTTTATTGTCTGTCATTTCAGTCATCAGAGGCAAGAAGTATTTTTTTTTTACCTTTTCTACATTATTTGAAATGAGAACACACTGTGTATTTCCTCAATACTCATTTAGAAGAAAACAAACAAAGGCAAAAAACCCCAAAGACTAAAGAGATAAAATAGCTTCTCATGTTTTCAATGGGATTGCCGAGATGGTCCCTGTCTTCTGTTTGCTTTTTGAGCAATCTGTCTGGAATCAATGGGCACCTGGAGTACAGGATGTAATGCAGGCTGAGATTGCCAGTGCAGTTGAAAACAGAATGAAAATGGGTTGAACAGACGAAAGAACAAAATGCCTTCCTGGCTCCGCCTATGCATCCATGGCCATCTGCTCCATTAAGGACCAGTCATCAAATCTTTCGGATTTAGTAAAGCACTGACAGTCTCCACCTGGCATCTTAGCTGTTATCTTAAAAGAGGAACCTATCTTCAGATTTACAGTAATTACTAACTTAATTAGATATTATTTTTTGCTATTTCAAGTTCTTGTACTTTAGGTATTTTAAAATGCCACCAGTCATTTTTTGCAGCACTGAATTAAAATATTTTATTGTCTTACTATAGAGCTGCTCTAAACATCATTTATCATTTTTATATTTGTTAGTGATATATTTCTTCTAAATCAAAACTGTTGAGAAAGTGCTGACAGCAAGTGCCAGCATCTTTACATTAGATAGATGTCTATGAATGTACAATATCCATACTAACAATACTTTCCATAGCATGGCCACTAAATGATGACAAAGTTGAAACTTCAGATGGAGCCGAGTTGATTCATAACACTATAGAGCATATTTCCCATTCCTCTTTAATATTTGGTACAAACTCAAAGCAGGATACAGAGCAAGATGGATCACCGAGATGATCCTTACAGTTTCTATGTAGGATCCTTATCTCACAGGTACTTGTGAATTTTCTTGCCAGTATCTTCATATTAGTAGAAGTACTTTCAACAATTAAATGTAAATATTTTTTAGAAGTCAGACTCAATCAGAAGTTTGGTGAAAACTTATTAATCTTTGTGATGATCTCAAGTTGTATTATTGCAGAACACTGTGGGCTTAATAACTTGCGTGTTTAGGGGATTGGGGAAATGCAGGGAGTGTTTAGAACAACATGGCATGTTGTAAGAAAACTTCTACGATAAAATTCATATAAAGTAATAATGTAATAGTATTCTTTAGTATATTACGATTGCTGTAGTTTTTATGGGCAAATGTGTTTATTTTGTAATATGTTCACTGTGATCAAAACACTAATGCAATGTAAGAGCAGTTTGCTCTAACAAGATCCAAGAAAAGTCATATTTATATATATCATATTTATATATGATGGAAAAGCTGAATTTGTTATAAAAATGCATTATAATACTTTCCGGTCCATGCGTTCAGTCTTTTCAAGGCTTAGAAAATCCTCTAACTGATCATGAATAGGAAGCTTTTCCAGACGAGCCCTTCAATTTCTGCAGGATCCAAGTCTTCCTTTTTTTTTAACTTAAAGCAAATTATCCTTCTTGTATCTACAATTGCAAAAGTAAGTCTCAAAATCTTGAAACTAATTTAGCTAAAGGGCTCCACTATTTCATCAAAGTCTTACATTTTACAAGGTTTCTATAGAATGAAAAATAACCAAATCTTTGTAAGTTTTTATTGCTGCTGCTCTGAGTCCTTTTCATTTTCTGAGTGCATTTGGAAAACTGAGCAACAAAAATGAGCACTTTCTGCTGATACATTTGGAACAAAAACTATATTGTCTTAGTTACAGGATTTTTTTCTCCTTATTGACAACAAAACAAGCTGAGGTTGCACCTCAGTGTTTTAAGCTTTCCTGTCTTCTCGTGATTTCAGGTAATGGTGTGGGTTTGGGGGAAATTATTCTGAAAATCCTTATTCTCTGACACAAAACTCGAGAATCACTGTGCGAATGCTTCTCTCATCTGTCCTAAATACATTCCATCTGCTCACTCACTCATTGATCCTGACCCTCTGAGTTTAGGCAAGACTGGGACGGGGAAAGGAATATATCTGGAATGATGCAAAGTACCTCCTGAGGTGGCTAAGAAAATGATGTTCATAAAAATGATTGTCAATCTCCTATAATGTATGTGCGCTTCATAGGCACACATTGCTCCTTGTAGATTCAAATTACTAGCACCAAAACATCAAATTACATTATACCACATGAAATTGGATTGCAGTATTAACACCAGCATTATCACCTGTTGGTGGGCTTGTTATATCCGAACCAGTTTTGTAGCTCAAATGTTAGCAAGTCAATGAGCATATTAATTGCACTTTTGTGACAAGGTGTGCAGGGCTGTGGGTAAAGGGAAGCTCTCCGTGGTTGTTCTGTAACATGATTTGGTGTCTGCTCAGTGTCATGTCCTCCTGTCCTTGAGAGCTAGAAGCTAAATAGATAAGCTTTTCATTTGTCATGAATTATATAAAGCATAGTAGGAGCTGGATATAGTTTTATAGTGGTTTCCAGATGTTGGAATTTGAGAATAATGCTATTAGTTAACAGTTGCCAGTTATTTGAGAATAGTGCTATCGGTTAATAATGCTATCAGTTAGTTATCAGTTAATATCAGATTCTGGTGTTTATTTGCATTTAGAAGTATTGCTTTACCATTTCAAGGACACATAGGTGAGATCCTTCCATCAGAAGTATAATGGGACACTTTTTAAAACCAGGACAGGTAGCAAACAGTATCCTTAGGGCAGGAAGCACATTAGATGGGTAAAGCTGTTCTTTCAGACTAAGTCATGTAATATTTATGTGTTTAAAAACTGAATGTAGTTGAGTTAGTGCCGTGTGCCAACAAGAACTGAGTTGGTCTAGGTGTAATTTTTTTCAGTGTAATTTACTTTCTAAATTATTAATAGCTTGTCTATGTGTTAAGCTGAACTACCAGTCCACATCAAATCACCGAGTGTTAAACAATGAAGGTTTTTTAGAAAACATTAATATTGTAGATTTATGCAAAGAGGGCAAATAACACATAGATGTAGTCAGATGCCACAGGACTCTTCTCAAGACAGAAATCCGTACCTATGAATTTATTTCCTTTGCTACATAACAAACATTAATATTTAATAACTGCACCATATTAAAGTTCTTGGTTAATTATATATTATAATACTGTTTCTACCTTTCCTAAAGCTTTTAGTGCCTCATTAAACCCATTCACATAATATTAAAATAATTAAAATGAATCTGTATCTGTTGTGCCTCTCACTGACAGCTGGCATTTCAGAAGTCCATTTTTATTTTACTAGTGCTAGTGGTTGAGACTTAACTTTTGAAACTTCTTTTTTTTACAGAAATCACCTATGTGTCAGTAAGCGTAGTCTTCAAAACTGCTTTCTGTCGACAAAACAGGAAAGCTTAATGTAGGGTATTTGCTGTGTGAATCCTACAAAGTCCTGTAGTGGTTGTCTCTTCTCATCTGATATTTATGTAGCTGATAAAGAATTGTCTTTTTAATTGCAATAATGTTCATAGATGTTCTCATAAGTCATCTTTGTGTGATACATAGTATTCCACAAAGAATATTTTAAAAACTCTTGGCATTAAAAAGCACAAGAAAAACAAGGACCTGTTGGAGCGGGTCCAGAGGAGGGCCATGAGAATGGTCAGGGAGATGGAACACCTCTCCTGTGAGGAAAGGCTGAGAGAGTTGGGCTTATTCAGCCTGGAGAAGAGAAAGCTTCAGCGAGACCTTATTGCAGCCTTTCAATACTTAAAGGGGGTTTATAAGAAAGATGGGGACAAACTTTTTAGCAGGGCCTGTAGCAACAGGACAAGGGGTAATGGTTTTAAACTAAAAGAGGGTAGATTTAGACTAGATATAAGGAAGAAATTTTTTACAGTGAGGGTGGTGAAACACTGGAACAGGTTGCCCAGAGACGTGGTAGATGCCCCATCCCTGGAAACATTCAAGGTCAGGTTGGACGGGGCTTTGAGCAACCTGATCTATTTGAAGATCTCCCTGCCCATGGCAGGGGGGTTGGACTAGATGAACTTTAAAAGTCCCTTCCAACCCAAACCATTCTATGATTCTATGAAATCTGTATTTTTAATGATGCAATATAGTATGCTATCATCTGATGCTAGGTACATAATATCTGTGTTGTACTTTACTAATTAAGGCCTGATCCTGCAGATATTTACAGATATACTTATTTTATGCACATAAATAATTTTGTGGCATTTGATTTTCCTGCTTAAATGAGTAAAGCTAAGCTATGATCAGGGCTTTTAAACGTAAGTCCTGTGCTGTTACTGTTTTCAAATGCATTTCTTTCAGAAATGTGATCCCTGCTTAGTAGTCACCTTCTCCCCAAACTGGCCTTTCATTTGTCTTTAGAGTATTTCACCATGAATTATGTGGAAAAATAAGTATACATTACATATAATAACTTGCATGTTTCAGGGCCCCATTATGTTTGATCAAACACAAGGAATTATTCATAAAACCGTAACCAACAGATAGGAGGGATTTTTCATGCAATACCTAAATCTCTCTGTTTTCTTTTTAGCCAACCAATGGAATCTTCATGAGTGCATTTCTCATCGTGTTACCTTTGGAGTCCATGGCTCATGGGCTTTTCCATGAGCTGGGAAACTGCTTGGGAGGAACCTGCGTTGGGTATGCTGTTGTGATTCCCACCAACTTTTGCAGGTATAGTTACCATGTATTTCAGCTTCACAGTAGTGTAAGTGTACTGTTAGCTCGTAGAGGCAATGCCGTGCTGTTGCTTGTATTTTTCAATAATTACATACAAATTTAAATAATAGGCAGATTTTGTATTTTTCCTTTTCTTCACCTTCCAAAAAGAATGAGTAATGCCAACTCCACCTTTTTATATGTATTTAATTTGCTTTTAGAAAGCCAATGAATGCTTTACGCACCAATCATGCATAGGCAGATTCCACAGTGAGTATCGGATTGGGGCATTTGGCTGAGTGTAGATATTTTATAACAGGAGATCTAATAAACCAAACAGATCAGTTTAAAACAATTTTGAATTCTATTAAATGAGATGATGTCTACATTTAAAGGACATTGAAATTAGATTTGCGAGTGGACTACGTGTCAGTTATTGGTATTGTGAATTTACAGCTCTTTTTTGTTCCAATATAAATATTGCCATATGAGAAACGCTTGGGGATGGAGGGATTATACTATTATTATTTGCCCATTTGTGTGTTTTTCTTATAAGCTTTAAACTTGCAAATGCTACTTTAGCCATACAATTAAAATTGTGCGTACACATTTTTTTTGTAAGCGGTAAACAAGAGCTGTGTAAGTTACGTATTTGAGTTACAAGAGAAACAGAGTGGTAAGTTGAAATGAGAGGCTTAAAAATAGAACTGTCCAATTTATGAAAACTGCCCAGCTTGTAGTATGTGTAATGGATTCAGTGGATAGGGAAAAAGATTAATGGGCAAAGAAGCAGAAGGTAGCGTACTGATCTTAGATCACTGTATTTTAAATAGTGTAAAATACTGTAAACACAAATTTTCTGAGCTTTGATCTACAGTCTTAAGCTCTTTTAAAAAAATCCATGTAGTCAATTATTGTTAGGGATAAAAAATAAATTTTCAAAATTTACATTACAATAGAAATAAATTCTTTTCGTTTCCATGACAATAATTTAATTCTTTCATTGCATTATATTATTCTGCCTCTGGCAGTTCCCTCTAGTTTCTGCATGAATGAGATACTCTTGAGCAACTGTTTAGGACCTTACAGAACTGAACTTCCTTATTGACTATTTCAGTAATGGGCTCAGTCTTCACTTGCTGAGACAAACAGTAATGATGATGTATTCAATATAATTGTAGTAGTGGAACGTACAAAATTTAATTAGCTAGACCAAAAAAGAAAGCAGGTAGCTTTACACACTGACTTGCAAACAAAATACATGAAGTATACTTACATACATACAGAAATATATATAAAAAACAGAAGTCATATTTTTGTATTAGTAGAGCAAGACCATCTCCATGTTTTCATCCACAAAAACTGTCCATTGCCCAGAGAACTCAGGGACTTTTTTGTTATATATGCATATTCATATACATATATACACACACAAACATCTATATATACGTGGTTTGTTCCAGGTCTCGTTTGTAATTTTCTTAGAACTTTCATTTTCTAAGCAGTGAGTATCATCATCTGAAACATATTTCTTATGCTGAAAGATCAGCATATGAACAGCACATACAAGTAAGAATTACTGTATTTGCGTGAGTACCATATTGAATAAAGGCTAGTTTGGAACAGAGATAAATTAATTCAAAATACCTGAGCAACATGTGTACTTGGATTTCTCTTTAGTTCATTATTGGAAACTAGTTTGCATGATGTTTTGTGCAGACTAACACTCATTCTCCCTGCGCTTCTTTCCAGTTGTGTGTGAACAAATGCCTGTCTGAAGGCAGTGCTCTTTCAGGGGGGCTTAATGAAATCGTTGGAGCCCAGCATGTTCACATCACAGCTCCCCTCTCTCTCCCTCTGTCTCTCAGCTGCAGGGATAGCATGGAGTTGTGTAAGGACTACGCTTTGAAGTGAAGAAGTGTGACAAAAGGGAGTGGGAGATAGTGGTCCCTCACTCAAATACAGTATTTTGAATTGTTTATAAACTGTACATTTCAAGTCAAGTTGAATTTAGAACACTGCTACTTCACAGCAGAGAAAATATTCACAGGGAAAAAAACCACCAATTGCTAAAAGTCCACTAAGCATGAAATAATTGTAAATCATATTCATAGCTGTTTTTCTTCTCTTCAGTCCGGATGGCCAACCAACTCTTCTTCCACCTGAGCACGTACAAGAGTTAAATCTGAGGTCTACTGGCATGCTTAATGCCATCCAAAGATTTTTTGCATATCACATGATTGAGACATACGGTTGTGATTACTCTACAAGCGGACTGACCTTTGATACCCTTCACTCCAAGATCAAGTCTTTTCTTGAACTTCGGACCGCAGATGGACCCAGACATGATACCTACATTTTATATTACAGTGGTCACTCACATGGCACTGGCGAATGGGCACTGGCAGGTAACTGGTTTGGAGATTTTTTTATTAATAGTTTTGGTATTGATAAACTTTCCAAATGAATTAACTTGTTCTTTAAAAAATCATACCGTATTGCAAAACTTTGAAGTTTTGGTCACATTTATTATCTGATAGTCCAGAATGGCAAAGAACCACCAGTCTTTGGAGAACAGGTTTATACAAGCTCCTGGCAGGGAAGGAAGAAAGGAAAGGGTAATATACAGGGCATGGCTGTTAAGAGATTCAGGGGCTACAAGGAATCATCAAAATAGGCAAGGTTGCAGGCTTACTACCTCTGCTAGTGGAGAGAACGGAGAAATTCGGAAGCCCCTTTTGTATGAGGTTAACTTGATGTAAAGAAGCAGCTCTTTCTGTACCTTGCTCTGTATGACAGTCGGGTATGTTACTTTATGAACTTCTATGTCATTTTAGTATTTAGTCACTTTGATAAAAATCCTTTTGCAGCTAACTAATCTTACACTTGTTCTCAAAGTTGTCTAAATATTTTTGACCCCAAATGTATGCCGACAAGTTTAAACATGATTTCATATTCCCCTTACAATGCAACAAGTTAACTTTAAGATTTTTTTTTTTTCCAGAAAAGTAAAGTGGAAATGACCCCCTCCTGCTCTAAAGACAGATTTCCCCTATATTTTGAGGAATATTTTTTCACTGTAATGACCAAGCATAATCTCTTCTCATTCCCTGGACATGGCAATGAATTATACAATGTTCTGTGTCGCTGTGTCAGGCTGTTTATGAAGGACTGCATTCATGTCATTAGGATGAGCTCTGCTTTTTTTGTGAAAGATAGAATCAATAAAAGAAATAGGAGGCAGGTATACAATGTACAATAGAAAAGCAGGTCTTCAAATATTTAGTAAACCTTTTATCATGAAAACAGCGATGGTTTGCTGACATCCTAGAGTCTGAGTCACTGTGGGCGCAGTGTAGCCTTAAGACTACAAACCCCTATATAAAGGGCCGGTTTAATGCCTCGTCATATGCTTGGCATAGACTTCAGCATTTCCCCTTTTCTTGGCCTGTTTTTGATCTCTTTATAATGGACAGTGCTATCTCAACTGTATTCTTTGGTAAACCTACTGAAGTTTTCAAATCATTGGTAGGTTTAGCCTTCCCCTCCTGCCGTATGGAACTGGGCTTCTGAGGTTGCTGTGTGCAAAAAGTGAATCTTGTAGTAAATACATGGAAAATTTGCAACTTTTTTTCTTCCTGGGAGAGAATTAATTCTCTTGGATAGCGCTCTGCCTGCGAGCTCCGGGCTGTTTGTCAGCAGTCTCTCTCCACTGTGCTCTTCAACAGTGTAGACAGATACTAGCTTTGCGTGCGGTCATGCTGAGGCATTCAGGCGCAGGACAGTTTTCATCTGGAGGCCGTGTACCTGTTTTGGTGCAACTCCATACCTGAACTGTTACACCTGCTGAAGAGCAACGCATATTTTTTCTCAAAGGCTTCATCTGTACCAGTGATTTTAAAAAAGCCACAGCTGTACTCTGAGGTTAGCGCAAGTGATGTACTGTGGTGTACGCCAGTGTGGCTGAATGACTTCTCCGAGAATAGGGTGGTCTTGCCCATAAGAGCAGCTGCTGCCCTGTGCAATTGCTGAGTGTGTCCACATTGTGTGGAGCAGGCTAGCAGCAAAACCGTGCCTCCCACCCGTGCTCCAGCCAGCAGCATAGACACGGTTAGCTTTCTGGCATATATAGAGCCAGATGTTGCTGCAAAAATTGGACAGCTTCTAGCCCAGTCCTTGGCTTACATCTGGCCAGCCTGGAGTGTGACCGGGGAGCTCAGGTCTCTGTATACCTGTTCAGGTAGCTGTGGCCTGAATTAAACTCTGTCTTCACTTCTAGGATAAGGGCCAAGGTAACCGTTAAAATTAAAAAAAAAGTTTCTGTGCTAAAAGATACAGTGTCTAAATGCAGTGGTGTTCAGCTTTTTCACAAAGTTGCTTTTCAGTTCTCTATCCAAGCACATCTTCAGCTTCTACTTGGAGATATGTATAGTCACATAAAGGAGAGGAACAGGCAGCTGTCTTGCATCCTTTTTTGTGACTCATTTTAGATAAATCATGGAGTGTAACCTGATACTCCTTCCAGATAGCAATGCCCCTGAATGTAACTTGGAGTATAAACTGAAATGATGAAGGCTGTTTGATTGTGTAATTGTACCGCATGTATTGGACAGTGGCGTTTTTTGACAGATGGAGCATTTGATCATCAGCTCCTGTAATGTGTACTGTCCTCCGTCCTCTGGAGAGGATGAAGAGAGGAAGAAATACAACATTTGGATCTAATAGAAAAAGTAGTGTCTTACTGCTGGCTTACGCCATGATACAGCACAGCAGTAGCAGCGTAGTCTTTGCTTTATAATGACATCTTTTAAAGGAGGCTTACTGGATTTATTAGTTCACTAATGATGTTGTTGGAAGCTGAGATGTAACACAGTGGTGTATAAAGGAAACTGTTAACTAGTCATGCATAAAGTATGAGCAGTCAAATGACCTGGGAGGTCATGTTCTCTGAGTGAAGGGAAAGGCAAGAGCTGAGCTAATGAAGCTTTGTCTCTATTGCTGAAACTGTCAGATTAACTGCCTGCGAAACCTGCCAAAGAGCCAGATGTGGCCAGACACACAGATTTCTTACACAGCTTGGTGCCAAAATTTTGCGCTGGCTGATAAGACCATGTGTTTGAGGTCAGTAGGGTTAGAAGCTGAGCATGTGTTTGTGTGTGTGTATGAAGAATGAGATGGTTTTCTTGGGGCAGTTCTGTCCAGTACTGTTTTGAAATCACCTGCACCCCTGCATAGTTACACTAAAATAAAGTTTATTTATAAGCTTTTAAAACGTGAACAAATAAAGAAATTTTTACTGCTGATTGACACAAGAAGGCTTACTTAGAACAGGGAAACTGCTTCTATACAAGTCTCTGCTGTAAATAACTACAGCAATTTGGGGATCATGTACCAAGACAAGTCATTACTGTAGGTTTGTATGTTAAGATTTTCTTTGGTACTAAATTTTCCAGGTTTGTTGGGGTTTTTTTTGAGAAAGTTGTAGCCCTGTAATTTTGCTTTTACTTTAACTGCAATAGCATGCTCAAAACTTTAACTCTGAGCTAGTAATTTGAAGCACTTTTTGTCACCCCTTACAGGTAGAAATGTAAGTGCTGAAATATGCAGCTGTTCTGTTTGAGATTCATCTGTGCAGTTAAATTCCTACTAACAAGATTTTAAACAGTGCTAAATGTAATATTCCACGATGAAAATCACTATGGAATAAAAATGCAGTTATTTTAAATCACATTTTTCTACCTTTCTTCTAAAAGTCTTCATTTTTTGTAAAAGTTGACATTTTCAAACTAGAGTGTTTTTGTTGCAAATCTGTATCATAGCTCCAACCTGCCAACACCTGAACGTATCAGTTCTTCACATTAATTGTCACTCTGGACCCAATAGAGATTCATTCACTTGTTTGCAAGATGTTTTCCTTAGGCACTTGAGTAAGTAGTCTGCTTTTCAAAGCTACATAGATCCTTCAGTATCCATTATATTTAAGCAGAAGGACTCCCTACTATAGGTAACTTTGTTTAATTACAATCCGCTCTTTCAAAGCATTGTTGGAGCAAGAGCTGAGATGGAATGTGAGAAGTTGGACACTCTCGTTGCAAGTGTTTTCTCAGCTGATAGGAAGTAAATACTGCGGAAAAATTCCTATGAGAATTTTGTTTCATTGAGTTGTAAATCCATACCAATTTTAATTTTCTTGAAGCTTTGAAGACAGCTGTGTCTATAGAGTGAATCTCTCTATTTCTGGTCATGTTAATTTTTCAAGCCAAAGTGATGGTTGTGCTTGTAGGGGGCTTTTTGTGCCTCGAAACAGTTAGCATGTGTTGTGTTCAAAAGTCCTCCCTTTTCCTTAAAAGAGGAATCATGAATGGTTGGGGTTGGAAGGGACCTTAAAGATCATCTGCCATGGGCAGGGACCTTCCACTAGGCCAGGTTGCTCAAAGCCCATCCAAGCTGGCCTTGAACACTTCCAGGGATGGGGTATCCACAGCTTCTCTGGGCAACCTGTTCCAGTGCCTCACCATCCTCATAGTGAAGAATTTCTTCCCTATATCTAATCTAAGTCTACCTCTTTCAGTTTAAAGCCATTACCCCTTGTCCCATCACTGCATGCCCTTGTAAAAAGTCCTCTCCAGCTTTCCTCTAGGCCCTCTTCAGGTACTGGAAGGCTGCTATAAGGTCTCTCCAGAGCCTTCTCTTCTCCAGGCTGAACAATCCCAACTCTCTCAGCCTTTCTTCATAGGAGAGGTGCTCCAGCCCTCTGATCATCTTCATGGCCCTCCTCTGGACTCGCTCCAACAGGTCCATGTCCTTCTTATGCTGGGGGCCCCAGAGCTGGACACAGTACTCCAGGTGGGATCTCACGAGAGCAGAGTAGAGGGGGAGAATCACCTCCCTTAACCTGCTGGTCATGCTTCTTTTGATGCAGCCCAGGATATAGTTGGCAAGGATAAGGTTGGAGTCCTTTTTAATATTAATAAAAACATATTAAAAAGAATCCCTTTTTTTTCCTTAAAATTATTAAGATTTAATACAAAATAAACTCTATTTCAGATTTTCTTTCCTTGTTTAGCTATTTCCAGATTTCTTCAATAGGCTGTAACTTCTTTCAGTGTGAGGGAATTCCTTTTTTTTTTTTTTACATCAAGGGTGAGTTAATGGCCTCATCTGCCACAGCAAGTCAGGTGGAATCAGTTAATACCTCTCTGGAGATCTGCAACATCTACAAACAGGGAGGATCAGTTGACAACTTCTTTTATATCTGTCCAGGTTGTTAAAACAAGGGATTCTTGGAACCCGCAGTGAAAATTCTAAGTTTCTGTATCTTCGTCCTAATATTAAATCTTTTTTCCCTTGTGGCAGGGGGTGATGCTTTACGACTTGACACACTGTTGGAGTGGTGGAGAGAAAAGAACAGCACTTTTTGTTCTCGACTCATCATCGTTTTAGACTGTGAGAACTCTCAGCCTTGGGTTAAAGAAGTAAGAAAAGTAAATGACCAGTATATTGCCGTGCAAGGAGCAGAAATGGCCAGAGTTGTAGACATTGAGGAAGCAGACCCTCCACAGCTCGGTGACTTCACCAGGCAATGGGTTGAGTACAACTGTAACCCTGACAGTAACATCAGCTGGTCTGAAAAGGGACGTACAGTGAAAGCGGTGTATGGTGTGTCAAAACACTGGAGCGACTACACTTTGCATTTGCCGACGGGAAGCGATGTTGCCAAACACTGGATGATATACTTCCCACGTATCACCTATCCGTTAGTACATTTGGCAAACTGGTTTTGTGGTCTCAATCTGTTCTGGGTCTGTAAAGCGTGTTTTAGGTGCTTGAAAAGACTGAAAATGAGTTGGTTTCTTCCCACAGTGCTGGACACAGGACAGGGCTTCAAACTCGTCAAATCCTAATTAGCAACCAAAGAGAAAATGAAGTGAGAGCTCTGGGAACTTTCTCACTGTACCATACTTACAACTTTTTATATGACACTTTTTCTCTGAAAAAGTCTGCTACACTCACTTTATTCAGCTCTTTGAGCAGCTACAGTATATGCAACTGATAGGAACTGCAATCTTAAACAGAAGAGGGTAGGACTATGGTATTTGAGTTTTGTTACTGGTCTGTATGTACATATGTAAGAGACTTATTTAATATGACCATGCATTTTGGAGACAGTTCACGTGTTCATATGCGTTACTTAAAGCAGCCTTCGTTCAGAGTCACCAGTTTGATGGACAACCGCTCCTGTGAATGTTATAGCATGCTTATTTGTCATTTATATGACAAATTTGTCATTTATATATCCACTATAAGGTTCAAATACAGGAAAGGAACCAAGCTAATACTCAAATCAATTTGTATGTCCTTGAAATTATATGGTGGGGTCAAGGGTATTATAAAACAGCACTGAGCCAAAAAAATAAAAGAGAAGAATGAATAGCCATCGTAGGTAAGTAGCTACCAAGAATCTTTAGTTTTATTTCCTTTTACATCTTTAGCCCCTGCCACAAGTTCTCTACTGCCACCAGTGGAAATTTGCCACAGAAAACAAGGAAATCAGACAACCCTCTAATGTTCTGATGCTGCTCGGACAATGTTTTCTGAAGTGCAGTTTTAAAAACTTTCAGTGTTACTTTCAAAATTCAGTATCTTGCTGGTGATCATCTTTTTTTTTTTTTTTGTAACTATCCCCAGTAGTTAATTCGTATATGGAATAAAAAGTGCACTGAGAGTTTTTCTCTCACCTGTTAGGGTGGTTCTGTCTTTTCCAGGCTCTTACTAGTTTGTATTTTGAAAAGCTACCCTGAAGAAAAAAAGAAACAAAACCCAAGGAATTTAACAAAGAAAATAATCCATAGATAAAAAATGGAAATGCAAGTGTTGCCTTGCTTCCGTGTTTATCTGAAGTCTTTGCTGTGCCTAACACCTTGATTCTGTAAAATGCTGAGTACAGGATTGGACTGAGGAGTTCATTATCTATTAAAACCATGAGCAAAGTTTGTCAGAAAGAATAGATTATTCCTTTAGGACAGGA